GCACGCGCTGAACGGACGGACGGACGGACGGACGGATGAATCGTTGAGGTCTGAAAGCAGCCACTGGGCGACACTCATCAGCACCCGTTTCAGCTACATTTGCAGCGTCCTTGGTCACAGTTTCTTCTGAACATAGCAATACTTTGTAAGTCGTAGTAGTTGCTTCTAAGGCATGCTTCTGTTTGTTCTGGTCCATAAGAAAAAATTACTTCGAGTGGTCTTTTTAATTGGCTTCCTTACCCTGAAATAGGGCATGTAAGACGCCGGAACAGCTTCAGACTCTGCTTTGGGGGTGAGAATCGATCATACTGCCTTCTGCGGACTTCTTCACCTTTTCAATACCACTTACTTTACGCCAAGCTTTCCACAAAAGTTCAGTGAGTTAGAGCACCACCTTCGGCTGTTTTTTTTATTGACAATTTCTTGCCAACGAAGGAGAATGTGTGTTTTATAGAGTGGAGTTATTTCATTTTATTACTCTACAAGTTGTAGCTTAACTTTTGGAAATGATACAACCAAGGAGCCATACGGATATTAATGTGCGGTCAGTGGAATGCCGGCCAAGATTGGGTTCATACACGTCAACTAGTTTGTCGGACCCGCAGGAAAATGACGAAATTCACGGTACCTCGATAGCTTCGATAGCTGCCTCAAGCCGATTTTATTAAGTCTGAACTTTACTTGAGTTCCTTAACATACTTGGCGCGCGAACTGTGTGGATTCTTCTATCGCAATGGTATCTCGCGCTCGTCGCACCCCGTACGCATCTAGCAATGGAATGGGTGCGGCCCAAGTTAGATTTCACGATCCCGTGATCGTGTGATAGGTCAACCCCCTACTGTATGCCCCGGGTGCGCTTCGTTCCGCGCGTCCATCGAATTTAGGTCACGCCGCAGCCGCCGCACGCGGAGCGTCCGCCCGCGGTTTTTGACGGACGTCGCATCTATCAATGGGGCATACGCTCTGCGGTTGGTACATGGAATCAGGGAGCAATAAGCTAAAGATCCGATCACAGGAACTAAAGCAAATCATTGTCATCTCGGGGTATGTGTACGAACGTGCGTCCGAGGATGGGCGCGGCAAATTGCGCGGCGAAGTTCGTAATGATTTGAACGGCTTTGGCGCCTATCATTGGGGCCCAGATTTGGAATAGAGTGGATTAGGAGAATCATCCGACCTTACTAAACTACACTACTTCGAGTTTGTGCCCCGAAAATTGGCGCCGCAGTCGTACAGATCGTCACGAACTTCGCCGCGCAATTTGCCGCGCGCACCCTCGGACGCACGTTCGTAGCGTCCCCCCGTCATCTCGAGATCGCAGTGGGTGGTGCCGCGCGCAGAGTGCGAGCCTCGTTGCGCGCGTCCGTCGAACCTAGGTCAAGCTGCTGCCGTCGCATGCGGCGGGTCCGCCCGCGTTACTTGACAGACGTCACAGTTGTCAGTGGGGCATACGATTTGCGCTTGGTCCACGACAGTCAGCCACAGAGAAGGTAACAGAGACAAATGCAAATCATTCGCTTCATTGACACCTGTAGTGCTGTAACGTCATTTTGAGCGCTCAGTGGGTTGCGCCGGATGTCGCCTAGTCTCGACGTAGACGCAGAACGAGCTTTCTCCCCGTACCCCTACACCCACCCGTGGACCTGCCGAAGGTACCTTTTTGTTGCGTTGTGTGTGTTACGTTTGTTTGGAGCCGCTCGAATGTTCCTACGGGTCGCTGTATAACGCATTCACGGGATTTCAGATTCCGTCTTATGGTGCGACTGGGCGCATCAAACTTGCGCGCTAGAATGCAAATTTGCGGTTTAAGGCGCCAATTCGGATTGGCTGCTTTCATAGTCCGCGATTTGGCCCGCGAGCGAGTGAGCGGCGGGGGCTGCGCTTGCTCCTTTGTCTACAACTGAATCTTGGTCGATACCGCGGGCCGAGTAGTCCCCCGTCGCTCGCTGGCGGATAGCGGACTATGAAAGCAGTCAGTCGCCCCGCGGACGCTCGAGCGCGCAAGGCGGGGGCGGCGCTTGGCACTTTTTACTACTGAGTCTCGATGGATACCGGTGGTCGAGTAGTCCGACGCTCTTACGGGCAGCCATTGTATTCTAACGCCCTAGCTGGCGTTCTAGCGCGGATATCTGCGTTCCTACGCCGGTTGGCATTAGAATACGCGTACTACATATGAAGCGCTTACTCTAACGCGCAATGCATTAGTCACATTTACGTGGTCAGGGCGGAGTTTCTTCAGAGATATGTAATGATTGGGTTTCAGGAAGGATTCGTGATCTCAAGGCGAAGTGATGTCTGTCGATGGCCTGTGCTTTGAACGGATTTGTTTTACAAACTTTCTACTACCTTTTTCATTTTAATCATCTTCGTCACCTGCTGTAATCATTTGTTTTTTATTAGTCAGATAAAATTAACTCCAAAAACTGAAGCAAAGCTATACAGCTTACAAAAAAAAGACTTCATTTACAAATATAACATGTGCGATACATCCCGTAATTGCAAATATCTGGATAACAACTAATGTAACCGTATGACAAAAACCAACCAACCATCCCTGAGCGCGCACCATGGAGGCACCTTGTTCGATCTTCATAACACACCCCCCTCCCCCCAAAANAAAATTTTCACCATCCACCAAAATTTTTGGGAAACGCTTTAGCGAAATGGGAAGCTTGCTCCATGCAAAGCTCATGTCGCTTGGAATGGAAGAAGCCACCAAGAGCACTTTCAAGATTCACGGATTCTGAGGGATTCTTCGAGAACTTGACACCGATCAAATAGCACTGTCTCGAAACTCGCCCGGGCATCTTAGCCATCACCTAAAGAAGAAATTTGTCAACAATGAAACAAAACAAACAGACAAACAAATTTGAAAGATAAGGAAGAAACAGCTCACAGTGAAACTATGATTTCGAGGAATGTTCAAAGCGGCTCTAGGTTTTAGAAAAGCGAAAAAGAAAGTTTCTGTGTTCTCGTTCCGATAACTGGGAGTAGGACAACACATCCGAATTTGTGACGACGGAGCGCAAAGAGAGTCATCGACAGTTGTCTCGCGGCTTCGAATTTGGATTTGATTCATACACCACCGATCATTTCCTTGCATTTCTTCCCCCCGAGGACGTGCATTACGTGCGTCCGAAGACGCGCGTGGCAACTTGCGCGGCGAAGTTCGATTTGTATGGCGCTGACGCCAATTTTCGGGGCACAAACTCGTAGTAAAGTAGTTTAGTAGGGTCGGATGATCCTTCTAACCTGCTCTACTTCAAGTTTGGGTCACAGTGATAGGCGCTAAGCCAAAGTCGTTCGAATCGTTACGAAGCTCGTCGCGCAATTTGCCGTGCGCATCATCGGACGCGCGTAAGTCCACATGCCCCTTCGCCCCTGATGTAGTGGAGACGTGACGGCATTTCTCTCGAATTCTACTCCTGCGGCGAATTTTCGGTATGTTATCGCACTTCTTACCGCACTAATCAATCGAGGCCGCACTCGCTCCACTCAATCACTGGCTGCTTTCATAGTCCACGACCAGTCGCGCGACCGGTCGCGGACCCATCTCGCGAGCGACTGGTCGCTCGACTGATCGCGCGATCTGCTCGGGACCGTCTTCGGCTGCACCCATAACTCGCGCGGCCTCCTCGACCGATCGAGCGACCGGTGGCGCGAACAGTCGAGCGATCATTCGAATACATTGTGCGCTCCAGAAGGCCGATTGGAGGCACAATTTACTTGACTGATCGAGGAATTTCTGTGACACACGGCGAGTACGGCGAATGTGGCATGCGACAGGGTGCTTTCAGAGTTTGACGATACGCACTGTTTCGTCTGACTGACTGACGGTGTTGCTCGCCGCGGGTTGACAACGCAGGACAGATTGCGTTCAGGGCGAGGGCGTCGTGAGCGTCCGCGCCGCCAAAGATGTGCGGTGCCGATCGGTGCCCAGCGTTGTCAACACGTGGCCAGCAACGAAGTCGCTCATTCGGTTGAAACAATGCATTTGTTGAACCCTAAAGGCACCCGATGGACACAAATCACACACCCACTACAGAGACATGCCGCTCTAGTCTATTGTTTCGCACCCTTGACGACTGTTTCAAATGTTTTTATAAATAAGTGCGCCCCTGCTAATGATTGACTAATCCTCTGCGAACGTTTTAAAGAACACTTTAGTCTATGAGTATTTTGAGAACACAAAATGGAAGAGGGACGAAACATTCGTCCAAAAGGAGGCGCGCGCGGCAAGTGCCGCGGCGAAATTCGTGGTAGTTAGAACGGCTCTGGCGTCTATCATTACAGCAAGGTTTGAAAAGAGTAGATTATCGGGTTTGGCTAGTCTTACTCATTTACTCTACTCTGAATTCGTGCCCTAATGTTAGGTGCCAGAGTCTTTAAAATCACCACTCTCGCTGCGCCCGCCTTTCATTGGCCGAATTTACTAGTACCCCAAAAAGGAAATAGCATAGCAAGTAGCCGATTATATGGTCATTCCTTTCGGACAGTATCTTCGAGACAACGAGAATCCTATGACGACTATGACGAATTCGTGGAAACAAATGTGTACATACACTTTCTCGAATACTGCTTGAGATCCAGCGCGTGATCATTCTGTCCAAGATGTGTCCGATTGAATAGCAACTCATGAAGGCAATCAACCACAGCATAGTCGAAGTACGGTAGAATCTGAGTGATTCGAGTAACACTCATCTTGAAAAATATTATGACGGAGGGCAATAGTACCTTGTTTGCCAGAAGCTCGTATCTGGTTGATAATCTGGGAAGGTCCTCTATGCCAAAAATACAAATCTCGTGGCGGATCATTTGTGATAGGCAAGGAACTTTTGATTTGTTCCAGGCTGTGAATCTGAAATTTGTTTCCCTTGGCTTCTTGAACCTGAATTTGATGGGCACACCTGCTTATCACTTCTGGAGAGAATAATTATTTGGCTATTTGTCTTGAAACTCTGAACGTCTTCTGACGTCAACGAATCCGGTCTTTCTGATATGCATTTTAATTCTATTCCAATCGCAGTTGCACATTGAATGTGTATGTGGCCCAAAGATTGACTTGTGATATACGAACCTAGTACACATTAAAGGCACAGTTTGCACTAAAAACGTTTTTGAGCTCCTTTGAACGGTTTTGTGGCCCTCAAGGGAACCTAAGGGTCGCTGTTGCATCGAGAAACGGCAAAGAAAGGGGCCATTAATTAAGGATACTCAAACGGGTGCGAAACGATACCTTGTCCCCGAAAACGGCATCGCCTTCGCCGCACCCGATCGCGCTCAGTCGAGCGTTCTAAGGGGAAAGATTTGAATTCTAGTGCAAGTAGCCGCGAGATCTTTGCCGCTTGCCGTGAGAATTCGGGGAGAAGTTCCGGTACCTCTACTCAAATCGCTTGGCCGCTTCCACACCCGAGGCGGACGAGTTCTTAAGTATTGTAAGAGTTGTAGAGATTACACCATTTGCACCGGGACCCTCGCCTTGCACTCAGGAAGCTCAGTCCGCTGTATGCAATGGCACGAACGTTTGAACAGCTCGTCTGAACACCCCATCCATGCACAATTTCTTCTCATTGTTTTAAACTATCACGTCCATTACTCGTCTAAGGGGGACGGTCAAGTCGTGCGTCCGAGGGTGCGCGCGGCAAATTGCGCGGCGAAATTCATACCTATTTGACGACTTTAGCGCCCATTATTTGGGCCCAATTTTGAAGTACAGTAGAGTAGTAGGATCAGCTGACCTTACTAATTTACCCTACTTTAGATTTGGGCCCAATGACACGCGCCGGCGTCGTCCGAATTCGCCGCGAACTTCGCCGCGCAATTTGCCGCGCGCGCCCTCGGACGCACGACTTGACACACACCCCTCGTCTAAAACTAGATTCTCCAAAGTTACCGTAAACTGTGACTTTAAGCGAACCCAGAGGAAGGGATGGTTCGCTTGACCCGGGCTAGTATTATTCAAGTCAAGTTTCGATCCGGAACCTCGTTTTTTTTCATTTAGCACCATAGCACCTACACATCTCCTACACCCTCCCCCTCGGAAAAATAGCGCAACTGTTGGAGCTATCTCGCCATGACTGAAGAAATGATGTCTGGCTGCCTTCCATTTCTCAAGGTATGGATCTGATCGACATGATTATTTGGCCTTTTGGAACGAATGAAGCACTGTCTCGGAGAACAAGAAGCCTCGGCTATCTAGGCACGGCTGGATACCACTGGTTAGCCCCTCGCTCTTGGTGGAAATCAAATCTTACAAGTGATTCTATGGTGATAAAGAAATATTCAACTTTCCAACTTGATCACCATTGCTATAAGTACATTCAGTTAGTCTTTACCAGTATACTTCTCCACTTCAAAGACAGCATTTCAGTTTCAGCAGTAGACACCAACTTCTTGAATGAGGGGTTGAGTTGTAATTTGAAGACGTTCAGAGTCAGCGATGGTTTCAAAAAAAAAAAAGAAAAATTGCCTATGCGTCAGTTAGGGTAAGGCTTGTTTGTATAGAATCCCAAGAAGTACCGCTCACCTTGTAAAAAATGATGGGTACTTCCTTCTTTTACTTATATTCGAGCACGATGTTGAGTTTCTGCCTGGCATATCAAGTTCGCGAGTCGCTTTCAGGGAAGCCATAAGAATTTCATCGGTTCCATATACCCCCTAAAAAAGGCATATAACATAGATAAAGGTTCACCTGCTGTATACAAGTGTTGCACAGGTTGAGCCGTGAGACCTCGTATAACGCTTTGGCAAAAAACCAGAACTAACATAGTAAACAATATAGAACAAGAACGAAACTAGAGCAAGATGAGAGGGGGACCAAGTATGAGAGCCTGAGAGGTCGTGTTTGGGGTTGCTATGTAGATGAAACACCGTCTCTTCTGACAATAAGCCAAGAAGGGTATCTTTATTATGTATAATCAAAACTTTCCTATTTTTTGGTATTGGAAAGGTTAGAGATCATTCAGTGACAGAGATCTATGAGCTTAAATATTAATCCTTACTTTATATAAAGCGCTCGCGTCTGTCTGTCCGTCCGTCTGTCCGTCTGTCTGTCTGTCTGTCTGTTTGTACGAAAATTCATAACTTCTGTCTCCGTGGACCTAGGACGTTCAAATTTGGTAGGAGCACAGGCGGCAGGATGGGAACACATGTGGTGGGTGGCAGGACCGGACCCCGCCCACAGGGGGCGGGGTTTGTGCAACCAAA